TTTTTCTGCCACACAAATCACTCAAGCAGTGCTGAGCACAGAAGAGAGTGTGGACTCTGTGGGGTGCTCCTCCTCATAAGCCGCTGCTCCCTCCTCCTCCTCCTCCTCCTCCTCTCACTCAGTAGATTCTCCCTCCCAATACCATAAGCCCAATAAGACACCAGCCCAAGACACCACCATGCATCTCAAGAAGCCCTGAACATAATGTGCTAAAATGTATCAGACGCGTGGCACACTGGTCAGCGTAGCCACGTCAGGCAGCTCTGCTTTTCCTTTTCTTTTTCTTTCTTAAAAAACTTCAACCATTTCTCGGTTTATGTGTGTCATCCTTGTGCAGGGGCAATGTTAATCTTCTTTCTCTGTATCGTTCCAATTTTAACCGATGTCCTGATGGACCAGCTCTGCTTTTCAGTCTGATAAGTTGTAACTTGTAAGGCATCAATAAGTTGCACCAAATGATATTACATATACTATAATACTACAGTAGGGGGGGGGGGGGGGGGGGGGAAACAAAAAAAAAAAAAAACATATACTACAGTGGATACACCCAAGAGACATGGCATGAAGAGAGAAGATATATTTTCGCACTTTTGAAGGACCAAAAAGAAAGAATCTGAAAGATATATTACACCTTTGCTTGACCCTTTTATTGTCAGTTTGCGCCTTCCGTGCAGCCTTCTGCAGGCACAAACTGCCTATGTCTGCGGACACAGAGGCAGGTAGTTTGTGTCTCTGCAGATTGGATATATCAAACTCTGTATACAGTGTGTAGTACTATTCATCGTGAACTGGAGACAAGGATGTCTGCATTCTTGGCAGACATTGTGAAGGATGCTAAGTTTGAAACACTTCACAGTGTTCACACACAACCCATGCAACGGAAAAGGAAAAGACGAAAAAGGACTCAGGCTGACAGAAGGAAGGAAAACCTGATTGGTATTAAAAAGAAGTTCAGAAAACTTGGATCCCATCTAACGTGTCAGGGAGAGGGGTGGGAGGGCGAGGGAAAGTAGGTGGTTTTGTGCCCAAAGAAAACGGGGAATTTTCAGATTGCCGGGTGACAGCAACAGCAAGGGAGAACAAGAGGGATTATATGCTTGGTTTTCCAGGCTGCCATCTACCCCGAAACAGAAGGCAGGGTCATTATATCTATGTATTCGGCCCGATTTTCAGGTCAGGTGCATTAAATTTGGGTTGAATTCGGGTGAATATAGCTGTTCACTATCACGCGCAGCCTACCTGTTCAAGCCCTCCATCGATTCGCAGGCCCTTTTGCCATGACGACTTTTGCAACAGCAATGACCTCTGCAGAAAGACAGGCACAACCAAATCAGATAGTTAAATTGTTGAAGCATTCATAAGAACTTGAAGAATTTTCTAAGAAAAAAAGTAGACACTGGGCCTCGCTCCACCACTCACGACATGCACAAAAGACGAAAATATATGGCGGTCTACGTTCCCATGTTCGAGAGGAAGATTCATTCGCATTTTGCTCATTTGGTGATGTTATATCATCTATCAGCTATCCAAGGAAAGCAATACGTGAATATCACCGAATAATTAGAAATAGATTCAAAATTTCAAATAGTCTGACTGAAAAGTTGTGAGATCAGTGAAAAGACTGAAATACAGTTTTTGAAAAAGGGGGAGAAGACAAACAGAAAAAGAAGGCAATGCATCTGGATTCAAACTTGGGTCTGAATTTCAACAGTTTGCGGGTGTGTGTACCAACGAGCCTAGCTCTCGTTGGTACACCCACAACTGTTGAAACTTGAAATACAGACCGACCCAAGCTCGAATCCAGATGCAATCAGATGAACATAAGACAATAATTCTGAATTACCTCGCACCTGTCAGTTCAATGATGATATCAGTCGGACAGCAACACAGTCAGTTGCAGATGTAAGCCACCTGATCTCACCGTCAACTTTGCATCATCCATTGTGGTTCACGACACCAGAATCGCTGTCTCCAACATGCCCATAAAATCATTGAGTGTTGAAATCACGATGGCATTACACGCAGACAGACAAAGCACGCAAGACACACTGGAGTGCAGATGTTGAAGTATTTTCAAATAAATTGTATAAACGGTATAATTTTAAACTACTTTATAATAGCTTATAATAAGTCTTATGTAGCATTTTCAATTTCCTTTTCAAGAAAAAGAAAAGAGAGGTAGGTTTAATTGGGCAGGGGGTGGGGTGGACGGATCAGAGAAGAAACAACCCTTAAGGGTCATTTTTACTTCTGCATAACGGTACCATAACCGCAAAAATTATGAGACGCTGGACACATGCAAACAGACACACAGTATTTTATCCCCTTTGGTCCTTGCATGCATTTGGTATTTCGTGTTTGTACTATAACACACACGCGCACACACACACACACACACACACACACACACATGCACAACTGGGTACCTTGGAACCCAGTTGTTTAGTATTTTAGAGTATTGAGCAACCCCAAGCATGTGTTCTAAACACCACGCTGTGTTTGGTATATTTTAAATCATTTTATGTTTGGGAAGGATTAATTAGGGGACGGGGAGGGTGGTGTGGGGAAGGATTATCTAGTGACTTTTTGATAGAGGTGAACAAGCGGTGACCGCACTTGCACCCACCCAACCCACAAGGTGATGGCAAAGTCTGGGTCCCGGTGACCGACCTGGCTGGATGAGGGGTGGGTGAGGGCGCCACCTGATGGGTGGGTGACAGGCAGGTGATGCTTTGGCATGGATCACCCGATCCCCAGGATGAGGACCCCATCCCGCTCACCCGCTAAAAAATAAAAGGAATGGAAAATGCCAGGCAGTCTTTCACCCTGGTCCCTGGTGCAACAGTCGTGGCCCAACCTTTTGGGACCAAAAAAAAAAGGGGGGAGGGACAGGCCCACCCATTCTGCCTCTAGGGCCCTGAAAGAAGACAAAGGACTGCAGCAGATTCGGCAGTGCAGGCCTTCCTCGGGTTATAAAGATGAGCGTGTGAATCTAACCTTGTCAGGCAGAAAGATTCTCTGCAAGTTTTGGTGGCGGGGGCCTCCTATGGGTATGGACTGCCACTGGTACGGGGAGTGCGAGTGGGTAATGATTGGTCTAGGGTGCGGACACGGCTGGGTGAGGCATTTTCTGGTGTTGGGTGGCTGTACACGGAAGCAAAATTTTGAAACAGACTTGAGTGGGCTGGATTCACAGGCCTAGAAAAAAAAAAACGCTTCGGCAAGGGTGTACACAAGTAAAAAAGGAGCAGGGCCGATCAGGTCAGGGTGGAGGGAAAAGCAAAAAATGCATGGTAACCGTCCGGACGTCCGGACCGGGTTCCAGACAGTCCGGTGTCTGGTGTCCGGTGTCCGGTGTCCGGTGTCCGGTGTCTGGTGTCCGGTCCTTATGTCCGGACGGAGGCCCCTGGGGCAAGAAAAAAAAAAAAACGGGGCGGCCCAGGACGTTTATCGAGTCCTGGCCGCCCCTCGAAAAATAACGGGGTGATTTTTCAGTGTCACTTCACCACACCGGACAGGGCTTAGAGGTCCGGACACAAGACACTGCACGTTTTTGGGGTGGCGGGTTTCAGACAGGCCCAAGCGATTTCAAAGTGGCCGTTTCTATGTGGAGCCCGCCGCTGCTGCCCGGAGAGAGAGAGAGAGAGAGAGAGAGAGAGAGAGAGAGAGAGAGAGAGAGAGAGAGAGAGAGAGAGAGAGAGTGCGCCTGCACACACAGGCCATTTGCTGTCTCTTATACACATCTAGATGTGTATAAGAGACAGTCACATATCTGTGCATGTAACAGCCCCCCTTTTTTGTCACAGTCCGAGAGCGAGCTGCTCCTATAGTTCGTTCCTAGCCGATTACACCGCCCAGGGGGGGTTTCTCGAGGCCCACGACACGAGCAGTCTTTGGGCAAAAACACAGCTCCGTTATTATTGCTCATATCAAGAAAGAAAACGAAAAAGGGAAGGAAGAAAAATATGGCAAAACGCAGTGTTGCACCCCCCGACGGTTGGCGGCCCTTGACTGGTTGGCACCTACTGGTCGGGGGTCGTCAGCACCCTGCAAAAAAAAAATAATAATAAAAATAAATAAATAAAAAAAGGGGCGGTCCATAACCCCTAATAACACCACCAACACCCCCATAGAGGACCCTAATTCCTCCATATACCCCTCCAACACCCCCAAACCGCCCTCAACACCCTCATTACCCCCCCCCAATACCCCCTATATCACCCCTATACCCCCCCTATACTCAACCCCAACCCCCGCATACCCCCCACAATCCCCAAAAGTTTCTCAGCGGATTTGGGCTGTACTCAGCAAACGCAGTACAGCCCCCAAATCAGATTTGAAAAAAAATCAGTGGATGGTTGTTTTCTGGATGGTCGGCAGACTGCCCACCGGCCGGCCAACTGGTCGGCTGCAATACGGTCGCTGGTCGGGGTCGGCAGTCGGCAGGGATGCAACCCTGGAAAAAAGGAAAAAGGAAAATAGGAAAAAAGGAAAAAAGGAAAAACGAAAAAACGAAAAAACGGAAAACAGGAAGACAATAGACAGCAGATCCAATCAGAACATTTTAATTGGTGAGAAGGGGAGAGAGTGCGTGTAATGACCCGCCAAAACACAGACTGAGAACACTGCTGATTTCTGGGATTTGCCGCAGGAATGAACGCCTTGCTGAGATTCCTGCATTCTGCTGTGGTTTCTAAGTTTGTGTGTGTGTGCGTGGCTGCTGGTTTGCGTGCCTGTCTGTGCTTGTCGGCTGAGTGTGTGTGTGACCCGCAAGGTACTTGTTGGTTGAAAGGCCCCGCAGGGCCGGTACTTACCTGTGGCCGTGACTTTGAGGGTTGCAGCAGGGAAAACACTCAAGTAGCGGGGGTAGGCCCGCGACACTTAGAGCAGCGGGAAAAACACTCAAGTAGCAGGTAGGCCGGTACCACTCAAGTAGTGGTAGAAGTGTCGGGTACTGGAGGCCGAGCAGAAGAAGACAAAAAGTTGGCATTTTTGGAGGCCCAGTAGCGGTAGGTTAGAGGTAGGCCGGTACCAGTCAAAGTAGCCCGAGTCTAGGGCCTGTCCGGACGATAGCAGAGCCTGCAATGATGNTAGTACTACTCTAGCATTCTGTTTCGCTACTCTGAACTACGTGAATGAGGTCAGTCCTGTCAGGTCAGTCTTTGTATCAAAGTCTTCCCTGCGCCATTCAGCACCTTTTGTGTGTATGAGAATGTACATTGTCTGTCGAGATTCTACTCGCACTGTATTGTCCAGTCAGTCCTTTTCATCACACTGCAGTTCCTCGGTTATTACGTACATTGCATATATCGTCATGTAACAGTTGGTATCGGAGCTTTGCACGTGAATCAGGACAACCTGATCTGACACGTGCGCGGGGACTAATTAGCTGGTTAGTCTTTATTGATTGATTAGAGGACAATAGTTAGACCCCAAAATCACGATTTTGACCTCACTACCGAAAATCGAATTTTTTTTCTTTTCTTGGATTTTATTTTCTCGCTGTTCCGTTGTGGAAAATCGCAATATCGCAACATCTGAAATTTCCATTTTCGTTTTTCTTCTGAAAATTCAAAATTCCGCTGTTGAAAATCCAGAATATTTTTCTTTTCGAAAATTTTGATTTCCTGTTGCATTTCCCGTTACTTAGAAATTCGGAATATTTTCTTTTCTGAAATTCGTTTTTCTGAAAACGGTACGGGAAATCCCTCCTGCGGTATTATTCTTCAAACTGYGAATATTCTCATCGGAATAAATCCGAATACTTGTCATTTCTGTTCGGAATTTTTTCGCAGTTCTGGGATTCTGTYGTTCAGTTCTATAAATCATTGGCAGTCTAAAATCGAWWTTTTTTCTCTTTCAGTGATCATTTCGCACTTCAAGGGAGGTTGGGAGACCTACCGAACTTGCAAAAATCGGGATTTTTATTTTTCTCGAATTTTTTTTTGCAAAGTTCAAACTTTTCTTGTTTGATTAGTGGCTCCTTATCTAAGTGATTAGTTGGGCGATTATCCCACCCACCCCTCCCCACCTATGTTGTTGCCGTCTCTCCCCTTACCTTCTCTGCTTGATTCCGGGTACCCCCTGCGGCGGCATTGGTGAGTTGCCACCTCCAGCAGGCCACGTCAGCAGGCCATGTCAGCAGTACCACGTCAGCAGGACACGTCAGCAGTACCACGTCAGCAGCAAGGGATACCACATCAGCAGGCCCCGGCCTGGTCTATGCTATTGCGGTCTCATACAGCAGTCATGGACCAGCGGCCCGGAGAAGCAGACGAGGCCTATCAGGCCCGCATGCTGGCCTG